GCCTGTCCGTGCCAGAAGCGTCGCTGACGCCGAGGATATGACGTTGTTGGCTTCTCCCCGTCGCCCAGCTCTGGGGCTGTTGCAGAGGACAACTGGATCGGTTGGATGGGACTTGGTCTCGGCAGATCGCGGCTGGCTGGGATTCAGCTCCCTCTTGTTTTCTGCATGCTGCTCTGGGGTCGCGCTCCCTCCCTCAGCCCTTCCCTTAAATACCCCGGGGGGAAATGCATCGATCTGCAAGTGCCTGATTGACCTAGGTACCCTCTAACCTGTGCTTCCCTCATTTTGGCCAGAGCACTTACCCCCTTCCCGGGGTTAATTGATTGCGATTGATCCTTTTAGCCCGGCACAGTGCAAAAAAAGGCATTAAACACTTGGGCTCCCTTTGCATCACCTGCTCCCCCGTTACTGCTGATCCCCAGTCCTTTGCCCTTCCTCTCATCAACGTGCCCGCAGAATACTTCTGTGTTGTTCTTGACGTCCCATGTTAATTGTGTCTCGCTTTCTGCGCTGGCCCTTTTCGCCGGGATCCTGGTTTTTGCATTCCTCCGTTGCTGGCCGGGCACGCGGAGGAGGTGGGCAGCCCGGTCTCCCCCAGCTGGCATCGTGATTTCTTCTTGGAAAGCCTGAGAAGCTGCTATGCTCCGTTAAATAAAACGGGTGGAGGGATCCTCGACGCCTCTGCCCGGGGCAGGCTCGCTCCGTCGCAGCCCCGGCCCGGGGCTCGGCTCCCTGCCCGCCCTGTTTATTTTCAGGGCAATGATTCAGTTGTATGTGATTAATTTAATTTGCTAGGAGGTTGTCTCAGCTGGCAACGCGATACCCACCCTGAGTCAGGGCTGCCGCGCCGGTTAAGTAACGGATTGTGTAACACGTTTGGGAGGGACGGAGCGGGGAAAGCCTGCCGGAGGCGCTGAACTTTGCACGGGGCGATTTCGGAGTCCCTCTGCCCTGGTGTCGGTGTCCGTGCCCTGCTGCCGGGCTGCTGACGTCTGTGCTTCTGGTGCTCCCTTTGCCCGGAGAGGCCGGCTCCTTGGGTCCTGCGGTTACACGGGGCTCCCGGCTCCGTTGCGTTCTGACTTGTTTTATTTTTTTCCCGCTGAAGTGGGCTTCTCTCCCACCCTGCTGGAGAGAAAGGCTGGGAAATCAGAAGCCTCCTGGACCAGCAGGCCAAAAAAGAGAGCCCACGGGAGAGGGTTGAGACTCCCGGGTTTAGGGATCTGGTGGGATTTCTGCGCACTGAGAGACGCAGCAGGGTGCTGACATGCTGCTCGTGCAGAGCCAGTTTTCGGGGAGGTTCTCGGGACCCCCTCGCCGCGCGGGCAGGGTCCTTCAACCGCGTCCGGTGGCACTGTTTAACGGCGGTGGGCGATGCGGGGGACTTGGCTCGCGCCGCGTGAT